AGATTCTGTTCCGAAATATCACTTACTCGAACCGTCCTGACCGCGTAGCTCAGTTGGAAGAGCATTGGGCTAGTGTTCCAAAGGTCGTAGGTTCGAATTCCACCGTGGCCGGGCATATTTTTCAAGCTCACCCGGTGTGGATATGCACTCAGAGTAACATCACAAATATCAAATTCTAATCCATTTTAAAATAACTTATTTTCAGTTCATTATGTCAGCTAAAGATTCAAAGAGTTCGACGAAATCTCCGGCTAATTCATCGCCGTCACAGCGGCCTGGTGTGCCGAGTAGTAGATCGACCATCGCCTTAGAGCCAACCTTTGCTTCTCCGTCCACTGGTTCAACAACGAGTTCAACCGTACTCCAACCTGTCAGCGCCGTCAGCACATCGGCAGCAATTGATGCTGGTGCCATCTCCCCGCAGCTTGTTCAGCAGATCGTTTCATCACAACGGTCTCGTGTGCAGATTGGTAGTTCGACCATCTCCCTAGAGCCAACCTTTTCTTCTCTCTCCACAGGTTCAACAACGAGCTCAACCGTACTCGAAACCGTCAGCGTCGCCAGCACACCGGCAACGCCTGATGCTGGGACCATCTCCCCGCAGCTTCTTGATCAGATCGCGTCATTACAGCGGCCTCGTGTGCAGACTCGTAGTTCGGCCATCTTCTTAGAGCCAACCATTGCTTCTCCGTCCACTGGTTCAACGAGCTCAACCGTACTCGAAACCGTCAGCGTCGCCAGCACATCGGCAGCGCCTGATGCTGGTACCATCTCCCCGCAGCTTCTTAATCAGATCGCGTCATTACAGCGGCCTCGTGTGCAGACTCGTAGTTCGGCCATCTTCTTAGAGCCAACCATTGCTTCTCCGTCCACTAGTTCAACGAGCTCAACCGTACTCGAAACCGTCAGCGTCGCCAGCACATCGGCAGCGCCTGATGCTGGTACCATCTCCCCGCAGCTTCTTAAGCAGATCGTGTCATTACAGCGGCCTCGTGTGCAGACTCGTAGTTCGACCATCTCGTTAGAGCCAACCATTGCTTCTCCGTCCACTGGTTCAACGAGCTCAACCGTACTCGAAACCGTCAGTGTCGCCAGCACATCGACACCGCTTGATGCTAGTACCATCTCCCCGCAGCTTCTTAAGCAGATCGTGTCATTACAGCGGCCTCGTGTGCAGACTCGTAGTTCGACCATCTCGTTAGAGCCAACCGTTGCTTCTCCGTCCACTGGTTCAACGAGCTCAACCGTACTCGAAACCGTCAGCGTCGCCAGCACATCGACACCGCTTGATGCTAGTACCATCTCCCCGCAGCTTCTTAAGCAAATCGTGTCATTACAGCGGCCCCGTGTGCAGACTCGTAGTTCGACCATCTCGTTAGAGCCAACCATTGCTTCTCCGTCCACTGGTTTAACGAGCTCAACCGTACTCGAGACCGTCGGCGTCGCCAGCGCATTGGCTGCGTCAGATGCTGGTACCATCTCCCCGCAGCTTCTTGAGCAGATCGTGTCAGCGGTTACATTAAATTGCATTGCATACTTTATTGTGTTCCCTGAATAGGGATTTTCACTGATTTACAATGAATAAGATGCTGTACTATTTACAAGTTTTAGAATCTAAAAATTAAATTAAGGTAAAAGGATAAAACATTTGTATAAAGTTTCACTAATTAACCAGGTAATTATCTACTTAGTTGTAAATTTGTTCTAGCACACTTCGTTCAGTTTGTTTTTAAAGTTTTTAGTGAGTTTAACTTTTTGTACTTAATCAGATCGTTCCAGAGGGTAACCCACTGTAACGCTTCTATAATGGAAAGACCTTTGACCTGCAGAAGTTTTACACAGTGCTATATTTCCAGTGAAGCTTTTTGGATGCGAGTATATCGTTGATGAATGTCAGAATGCTTCGAGAATAACTCGCTCAAATAATGTGGAGCAAGTTCATTGACACATTTGTACATCATAATAGCCTCTCTAAGTAGTAATTGATCATTCACTGGGAGCCAGTTGAGTTTACGCAAGCCTGACGAAATACGGTCGAAATTTCCAATATTTTTTATTATCCTACACGAAAAATGTTGCCCTAGCTGTAGTTTCTTAATATTGGCAGACGATAGTGCCAAGACGATAAGAGTTAAAGCTTCTTTATCGAAACATTTTTTGACGCGGTTTATTTGGCACAGGGAATTCATACATGAGGAAACCAGATAGGTGATGTGCTGGTCATATATCAAATTTTCAAGCCTGTAGCTACAGTTTTTCATCAGTTTTTTATCCTTATTGACGAATTTTAGCGTCAAATTTTAGCGAAAAACCTGATAGTATGAAAATATAAAAAAATTAACATCAACAAGTCGCCCGGCCTTTAAGATCGTTTTATGAAGATCTTTTGCAGTACCATTAACAGATACCTTTCAATCTAAAACATTCCCAAAAATCATGCCCTGTAAGAAAGTTGAGCATTTGCGACCAGTCGCCTTGACTAGACAAGTGTTTTGGGGAAGCTGCAAGAATCATTTGCTGTCAAGCTAGTGGTTATACGAGGATACAAATGGCAAAATTTCCAACTCCCAATTAGGGCCGCCGAGAGGTTGGCGGGGGCCCGGGCCAATTTTTTTTTAGGGGCCCCTATCTAAATTTTTTTTTGCCGGAAAAATTTTTTTCCGGAGAACAACCTCACCCCCAATCCCCTCCCCCCCCGTCGCCAAAATATTTTTGGTCAGTGTACCATTTTAGGGGTCAAAAATTTTTTTCGGAGCACAAAATTTTTCCGGACGAGTACGTTGCAATTGCTTTCGAGGGACCTTTATCTCATTTTTTTATGCCAAAATTCGGTACTTAGCCCAAGAAAACAGATCTCTTGTCCTTTGCGCGGAAATATTTAACACACAAAAAAGGCTGGGGCCCAACAAAAATTTTTCAGGGCCCCCCAGCAACTCGGGGCCCGGGGCAATTCCCCCCCCCTGCCCCCCTCTCTGCGGCCCTGCTCCCAATATGCGGGGTTGAGTGGATCATCAGCAGTTTTAGCTCTGGTCAGGTTATTACATAGGTGGCATAAAGCTGTGGATGAGACTCAAAGGGTAATTAGGATAGTGTTTTTAGATTTTCGGATGGCGGTCGATCTTAATATCGACCACAATAAATTATTGGAAAATATGTGCCATATCGGTGTTAGACCAGCCTTGGTTAAATATTTCACCACGTTTTTGATGGAAAGATCTCATTTTACAAAGCTTTGCAATGAAGAGTCGGTGAAGTATATTTGCTAAAAGTTCTTGAAAGCTATGAGGCCTCGGAAAAAGACTTAAAGGCGCTTTGTCATCTTTTGTCATGGCGGTCTACTGTAACTGGTGAACAATGTCAGGATATTGAGAGAATCCAAAGGAGAGCGCCTTGCATAATCTATCCCGAAATGATTTACGATGAAGCATTATTTCGGTGGGGTATTAAAATCTTAGAGAATCGTAGAGAAATTACTGATATGTACAAATCTGGTTAAGGACATGATAGATCCTATACATAAATTACATGACTTGTTACCTTTTACGGTCGAACGAATAAGGGGAAGAGAGACAAGCTTAAATGGTGATAGGATATACAATTTTAAATGTAGGACGGAAAGGTTTAAATCTAGACCAATTGTTTTTGCCATAGATAAATGTAATTTGTCAATGAACTGATTTTATATACTTTTATGCACTTTTAATGGGACAGTTCTTAGTTGTAGATTAATGAATTTTTATCACAGTATTTGATTGTTGTAAATATAAAGTAGTTAGCTATAATTGTATTATAAATTTACTTGTAATATGAACATATATTTAGTACTCTAATTGCATATTATTGTTAATTCACATTCTAATTTGGCTTTCAGCTACTCATTGTGAAACGTTTCAATAATAATAATAATATTAATAATAATCAAAATAAATATATCAACTCGCCGTATTCAGGCGAAGGTTTCTACATGAAATCGCTTGAATACAAAGAGTATTTTACTCGATTGACTTGGGGGGTGGGGCATTCGGTATTGAAAAGATACTTCTTGCCATTCTTGGGAAAATATTTAGAATTTATATTCAAAGATAAGAAACCTGGAAAATAGTGAAAATACTACTCCACTATCGGCATGGTTTAATTAGCGGTCGAGAAAATAATAATAGAACGAATGACGGTAACCGAAATTTTCACGAATGACGGTAACCGAAATTGAGCTAGTGAATCACGACTCACGATATACCCCATCAACACCTTCCTATAAATATTTATCCGCCATTCCTGAACGAATGATCCCATTTGCATGCCTGTGCTTTCATGACCTTTAATATTTTTCCTCTGCCGTCGTGACTGCGAAATTCTTTTTCTGAAAATTCAAAGTTATGCGGACGTTTGACGACATTTGTCAAACAAGGTGTCGTGGTCAAAAATGGGAAAATGTGGGTTGGACAGTATTTTTTGGCTGAATCACTTCAAAGGATATCAATAACGTAATATAATCAGAGGGCATATAAAGATGGATTATTGCACATGATTTGCAAGGTAAAATATCCATAATATATTATAGTAAAATATAGTATAAATATAATATAGTATGCCATAAAATACTTATATAATATAAAATACCTCTTTATAACATTTTCATATATACAAATACACATATTTCTTTGTACCTTCAAGGCATAACATCTCCTTGTCGTTGAACAAACACCAAACATTTAGGAACATAATATATTGCACTGTATATGAATATGTTTCATACAACCAATGTACCAATTTAGTATAATAAAATATTTCGCATAAAATCCAGAGTATTGACTATAATTGTCGTGATTTTCAAAATAAGTATTGTGTTTTCACAGCTATACTGCAGGCTCGTAGCCCACCTGCGTTACACTTCGTGCAACACATAGTATATTGTCCAGGTATAAAAACATGTTCGCCATTTCGTATTTTTTTCTACAAATTTTTCTTGATCGACTTTCTTCAATGTTTGTTCGGTTTAAACTAAAGAAGTTATGGCACCAAAAAAAGCTAGAGTTTCAGCAGAATGCGCAATTGCGAATATTATGCGATTTATGGAACATTATGACAACAATGACAGTGTCACAGTGATGATGGTAAAATCAGTGATGTTGAAAATGATTTGGATTGTTTATATGGGAAGACAGGCATTACCAGAAATATGGAACATTTTGCTCCCGCTTTTGTAGTCAGCGGCTAAGTCGGTTTTATATCGCCTAACATTGCCTAACATAAGTAAAACGACTTCGCATTTAACTTTGAATCTCCAATTCAAGTATTATTCAACCAAAAACTGTGATTTTAAACTTTGCAGTTTTTGCTGAGCACTTCCGGTACTTTGACCTTTAACCCCGCAAATTTTTATCACGACTAAAAATATCGCAAATATCCTTAAAAATCCTAAAATATCCCTGTGTTATTACGTGCGAGAGCCTGGATCTAGTCTTTAAAAAAAAACAAGAAACATGGCTGCGCGAAACAGCTCAAATTTGTATTAAAACTTATCGTTTTTGGATATTAAGATGGCCTAATGGCGACATACAAGAACAGTAAAAAGGCGAACTTTTAAACGTTTCGGGAACTACAATCTTGGCCATAAACCGTAGGACGACGATAAATTTTTATGCATTTTTAAGGCCTCCACCCTTCCCCCAATTCAACGTTGCCGTTTCGTGTATATTTATGATCTGACATACTGTACAGACAAAATTGTACGTGTACTAGAAGGGAACTAGTTTCCCTGGAAATTACAGCGATTTATTTAGCTAAATTAACAGTTTGTACATCATTAAATATATCGCGAGCTTGGCACTATGCATCGCCCGAATGGATGTTGGTTTATTCGTCGGATATTTACCTCTTGTGTTACAAGTTTACTATAAATTACTCTATGAAATTCATCGAATTGCGAGTAAAAATACAACATTCTCAGGAACCTGCGAGAAGCGTGCAATACTAGCGATTTTTGTTTAGAAATATTGCTTGTTCGTGTCGCTACCATAATCTAGCTCGGCAACCATGAATTATTTAAACAAAATATATTAACATTTGATATTTTGATCAACTCCCATATAGTTTATAGTAATACTTGGTCGGCATATTTGGTCAAAGTGCGCATGTCCGTCGCCATTTTGCCCTTATTTCTGGTAATGGTCAGTTTCAGTTGTATGTTTTTTTCATATGGTACATGAATACCAGCTTGTAAAGAAAAATGATGGTGTTTATGGACATCTGAGGTATGCCATAACATAAAAGTATGTCTTTTGAATGTAAAAGACCGAATAACCAAAATGGGTACATTATTAACAATATTCGCCATTTTTTGATAGGCGGTCGTATTCAATGGGGTCAAAATGCGGCATTCTGGATGTGAATTTAACTTTTTTGCTAATTTTAGGTTAAACTTACTAAAAAAGTGACTTATATAAGAGAATGGCAATTAATCGACAGAATTTCTGAGGGGTGCGCCATATCAGCGCACCCCCAGTCATATCAGCATGAACGCATCCCCAGTACAAATTAATAGTGTTAAAGCGTTTT